CTACTTAACAACGATTAGAAGACTACTTAATCTGCACACGAGACGTCTCACCTCCAGTCACCAGCATATATACTCGTATATACTCGTAGCCTACCGTTTTAATCAAATTATTTCAGTATTTATAGTTGTATGCGTTTACATATGTATGTATGTATATATGTTCGAACGGAAAATTCACTTCAGAATATTTGAACAAAAAAATTGCAAAAAATTCAGACTTTCATCAGCCCGCCACAAATGATTTGTTTTCCCGGCACACAAGCGCACAATCTCTTTTACCTATGAGTGGTTGTATAATGAAAGTAAATGTATGTACATATGTGTGTGTGAGATTTATCAATTGGGCGATACGCAAACGTTCATAAATTTCGATTTCGGTAACACATCCAGAGCAGAGAATGCTAATGAATCTCTGTCCAAAGAAATTTAATTGAATTTTTATTTAATTAATTTTAATCTTAGCTGATCTCAATTCAGTTACTTTAATAGCGTATTTTACTTACTGAGATAATTTAAATATCTCAGCAAAATATGTTCATATGTTTAGATTTATTGAATATTCCCTTATCTATGCGTATTTCGATGTATGACAATCACACATACATACATACATAAATACACATACGCTGATGCTTACTTCTTCTTGCCCCGCACAAACAATGTTCCCACCTCTCAATTTTGCTTTCAACGGTTAGAACGAAGTTATTACGCAAATATTATTATATTAGGAAAATAACGTTTTAATGCTTCCAAACGCATTCCCCCCTACAAACCAGTCGCTATCATTAATAATTAGCCTCAGATGAAACGCCTTTGTGCATAGTGGCAAGTCAACGAAATAACGGCGAGTTCGCGCGGAGACGAGGCGAAGCACAAAAATTAAGTTCTTACAAAACGTTGAAAAAAAAAACTTAAATGCCAGTCAGATGCTAAGGTGTTAAGTTCGAGTTATTGAACAATTAATTACGAACATTTTTTACACAAGTTTTGTATGAATATACCATAATATTTAGACAATGTAAAATAACTGATTCCTATAAAAAAAAAGTATGGTGTTAAAACCGAAAATCTATTATTAAGGCCCTTCTCAGTAAATGAATTAAAATTATATATTAAGAGTTTTATGGCACATTTTTTCTACACTTTGTTGGTAAATACATTTGTTGAAATGATTAAAAATTACTGAGAGAAAACTTAGAAGTACCGAACTTAGAAGTACCGAAATAAAATGACCATTTTATAAACTTGAAAACAACCTCAAAAATTCTTACCAATTAAAAATTAGCACGACGAGAATGGTGTATGGTTAGCAACTAATTAAACGAATTTTAAAATTTTAGTTTGAAGTTAAGCATTAAGTTAGCACTCGTCTAATACTTAACTGGCTACTTATAATTTGACATGTAAACAAGTAATAAGTATAAGCCATGCTAATAAAAATAAATGCGTTAAAAGACATTTCCTTCAAATACGTGATTACCACTTCCACTCATAAAATTTCACTAAATATTAAGGTAATCCAACCTAATCTAACCACGAAATAAATCCACTATTCCCCACATTTTATTCGCTATGACATTGACGAATATACATACATATCTCTTTTTGTGCTTTTTATATTTGATGATGTGGATTAGGTGTATGACGACTTTAGTTTACCATAGTAATGAATTCTATTTTCTCTTTTCCACGTGAATATGGTGAAGATCACACGAAAATATTCACGATTTGTCTCCATATTTTTTTAATTATTGAGCAAACAACATGCATGGGTATTTAAACTAATAATATGTTTTCATAGAAACATTAAATGAGATAACAAGACTAGCTAACGGCAACCATAAAATTGGCAACTAACTGCGAACCTAAGTACTAAAATAAATTTGTGTAATTTTCGAACCAGTCTAATGTTTTTGAAATAGAGCCCTACATAACAGTGGTGGAGATTGAATGAAAATAAATTCAAAAGTACTCGCATCATCCGACTTTGGAAATATCTGTCGAAATCATAGGCTATGTATGGGATAGTAATTATCAATATTTTAACTTTGCAAAAGCTAATTTTGAAAAGTTAAATAGAGAACTTTCCACGATAACATGGCCTGATTACAATGGTGATATTGAAGTGAGTGCCTTCCATTTTAATAATATTATTACGAAATTATTTGAGAAGTATGTTCTAGTAGTAATTGTTAATAAAAGCAAAAGTACAAGTCCGTGGTTTTAGTAAGAGTTATAAAAATTGAAAAATAGAAAAACTCGAGACTTTAAATATTTAAAAAAAACCGCTTCGAGAGTATCTTGATCTAAACAAAAAATGTTATAATATTGACTGAAACAAGGTAAAAATGAATATTGTACGTAATCCAAAATCGGTTTATGATTTCGTTAACTCCAAACGCAGGATTTGCAAATTTCCGTCCGCGATGAAATACAAATCTATCATTTCAAGTGACAATGACATTATATCCAATATGTTTGCAGAATTTTTCAAGTCAAAGTACTCTAATAATTCTCCTAAAATTTTTTCCTATCAGCACGTGCTGTATCCGAATACACTAATTAACGCTCCAATTATTTCTGAAGAAGTTGTACTACTTAACCTAAATAAGTTAAAACCATCTTTAAGTTACGTCCCAGACATGATACCCTGCTTCCTGAAAAATAGTGCCAAATATATTAATTTGCCTTTGGCAAGGATACTTAGTTCCACTCTTTAGCACTGTATATTTCCTTCAATATGGAAACAGTCATTTATAATCCCTTTGCATAAAAGTGGATTTAAGTCCAACATTGAAAACTATTGGAGGATTGCAAAATTATCAGTTATATTTAAACTTTTTGAAGCTATCATCTCAGCATAGATTTCGTAAAGGGAAATCGACTCTAACAAATTTGCTTGAATTTGTAAACCATGTATCATTGGATTTTAGAGAACATAAGTTTGCGGATGTTATATATACTGACTTAAGTAAAGCTTTCGATAAAGTAAATCGCTTGACTCAAATATATAAACTTGATCTTTTGGGCTTCCGACCAAGACTACTTCAATGGGTTGCTTCGTATCTTTATAATAGTACACAACGAGTGATATTTGAGGATAATCTTTCAGATACAATTAATGTCTCTTCAGGTGTTCCGCAAGCCAGCTTGGCCCAATTCTGTTCTTGTTGTTTACTAACGAACTTTTACAGAAAAAATAATACACAAAAATTTTATTATACGCCGACGATGTAAAGCTTTTAAATTCATACACTTCAACTGATGCAAAGGAATCTGTTGCAAGCAGCCTTAAACAATTTGGTTGCTTAGTGTGATAGAAATGATTTGCCATTGAATCTCAATAAATATAAGACGATGTGCTTTTCCCGTAGATCTCTGGACCACTCTCCTTATGTAAAAAAATAGTCTAGAGCAAGTTTTGAATTTTGTTGATTTGGGAGTTAATATGGACCCTAAGCTTAATTCTAGTCTTCATATTGATACCAGGGTCTTGAAAGCAAAAGCTGTCCTCAGTTTTGTTAAAAGTTGATCTAAAGAATTTAGGGATTACTATTACTGTATATTACTAAAACACATTTTATAACTATGGTTAGAGCTACATTGGAATATGGCTATGTTGTATGGAACCCTAGCTACCAAATCCATTCTGATAAGTTAGAGTCGGTTCAAAAACAGTTTTTACTTTACGCCTTAGGGCATTTCCGTTGCGATTCTAGCTCAAGTCTACCTCTATACACTTATAAAACTACCTACACTTGCTGATCGTAGGGAATTGTTTGGCATAATATTTTTAGTGTAAATCTTGAATGGAACAGTTTGCAGTTCTTTTCTCCTGTATGAAATTAAATTTAATATCCCGGTCCGTTTTTCGTGGCAGTTTAGACCTTTACTGTTAAAATCCTGTAGATCAAATTTCGAACTAAACGAATCATTCCGCCGTATATGTGTTAATTTGAATTCTCATTCCTGCACATTTGACTTATCTGACTCACTTTTACAAATTAAAAAGACTCTATTGCTTTCTATTAATAAATAAAAAACGTAACAATTTATTATATTTTTGTTTCTATAGCTGAGCAGTTTTAGATCTTAACACTTGAAAAACTCTCTTGTCTTTTCTGACTCAGCTGATCTGAACACTTGAAAAACACTCTTGTCTTTTCTGACTCAGCTGATTCCGCACGTAAATGAATTGCACCCTTCGCGACGGTTATGCGGAAGGTGAGTAGTCGTTGGGTTATTATTATTAATTAAAAGCGACGCAAAACTCAACTACTAAACACTTCAAAATTGAGTTAATTAGAATAGCAGAAAATGTGTAAATATTACGGCTATAAATGTACTTGTAGATACACTGTTATATCAGCTGCAAATATTGGTTGATGTTATCGTTCGATCGTTTTGTTCGCTACCTTAAATTTACTTTCGTTCGCAAGCTTATATAGTGACAGTTTTCAATTTCATTTCAACCACGGTACATCTTGTTTTTTGTTGTCATAGTAGTAAAATTCAAATAAAATGAGCGTAGAATCCTTACAACAACCGACATATGTTCGCGAGCCACAGCCAATTCGGTGGACAAGAAGGTTTGTTTTAAATTGAAAACTTGTGTATATTCGAGCAACAATTGCATGATCACCGATCATCTCAATGTTGTTTTTGTAAATCAAAACTGTGGATTTTTATGAGTTGATCGGGTGACATTCGAAATTTTAAGAAGGTCTATTAAGTGCCATCCTTCATTACAATAGTATTTTTTTAAAGGAGCAATCTCGTCTAGTGGCACGAATTTTCGGATGTTTTTTGGTCGCTATAAATACAAAATTCATGTTTTAATATTCATGTTTCAATAACATATATAGACATGAAAAAACTTAAATCTTAAAATGTTATAAGCAGTTGAAGTGGGATCTGAAAAAATGGGTGGAAAAAGACCTTTAACAGCTATGCATTTTTTGCGGTAGAAAACTACTAATGAACCACTCTTTATTTTTCAGTTGTTTGAAAAAATTGAATTTAGATGTAAGTACCTTTGACTACATATGCCAGTTTCTCGGCGAGTTTATCGGCACCGCAATGTTGGTATTTCTCGGCTGTATGGGAGGTTCCTATGATGACAGCCTCGAACACAGCGTATTTCAGTCGGCATTTACTATTGGCTTAGTAGTGATGGTGATCTCACATTGTTTCGGTTGCATTTGTGGAGCACATTTAAATCCCGCCATCACATTGGCCGTTTACATTTACGATATGATCTCACTAACAATGGCGGGCGTTTACATTTTGGGACAACTACTTGGCGCTTTTCTCGGTTACGCTCTGATGATTGCACTAATACCAGACAGTGCCGTGAAGTTGGGCGGTGCCGCACATGGTGTCTGCGTTGCCACACCACATCCAGATATTACCACAATGCAAGGATTTTGGATTGAATTCGTCCTCACTGCAATGCTGATATTCACCACCTGTAGTGCGGCGGATTCACGAAACATTACATTTCAAGACTCATTGTCGATTCGGTTCGGCTTAACCGTTACCTGCCTTACTCTCGCTGGGGTAAGCTCTAACTAAAGCATAAAGTATACGTATACAAACATGAAATCCAAATACCAATTTTAGGGTCAATACACTGGTGCTTTGACGAATCCTTTCAAAGCTGTTGCCTCATCCGTCTGGACTTCCGATTACCAGGACCAATGGGTATTCTGGGCGGCGCCAATGCTCAGTTCAGCGGTTAGCGCCACGTTTTACAAAGTGATTTTCAAACGCGATATGGTAGAGCGAGAGTTGAACGAAAAGAGATGACTAGAATTGGCATCTGAATAAACACATCTCTCGAAAAAGTTAAAGTGTTATAAAGTATTGAAATAACGGTGGTGATAAACATTCGGAGCGGATCGACATGCATACTACACACATACAAGCCTGCATCTTCGCGTGTCATTCAAGCAACGCCTTCACACACAATTTAAAGTTGTTGAAGGAATTTGATTCTACTTCAATGTGTCAAATAACAATCATATGCCAAATGTATATATTTTTTTTCCATTCACATCATTTCATTTGCTTCATAAATTCTATATGCCCATTTTCTCGATGGTAATAGTAAATAATAAAGGCATACAAGTTTTTTGTATAACCTAATTTTTTGCAAAGTGTATTCCTCGCCCATCTGAACGTTGACTCTTGATCATCTTTTGTGACAAATGAAGTTCAACAAGCTTTTCTTCGTATACATTTTTGGTACATTCCGTGCCGCTTCGATGTCGATGCAGTTACATTGTTATGGCTTGGATCCGTTAGTTGTCGTAGTTGGCGTAATGTCGTATGGTCTCTGTGACGGCTGCGCACTGATGATAATCGTACAGACATTCAGTGGTGTATCATGAATCCATGTTTAACAGTTGCCCGCGTCATTATGGGACAACTGAAGTGGAATTTCCCAAGCACTTGGGTACGATGCTAGGTTTGGTACTGGCTTATTACACAACACCGGCGATGACGAGATCAGATCGTTATTGTGTATTTGCCTTTTGGAATTCCTCATGACTTCAGCGTGGGTGTTGACCCAGTGCACCTGCTGGGATAAGCGCGCTCAAGGCATTCAAGAATCCATATCATTACGTATGGGCGCGGTAATGATTTCACTTATACTTTGCGCGGTGAATAGAGTCCAATTGTAAAACGACCTCATTTGTCAATTACTCGCTTATATAATAATTTTATATATGAATAAGTCAGATTTTATGGTTTCGCAGAAATCCCCTTAGAAAATAGAAAATGGATATATCGACTAGATCAATGTCAAGACTTATTCGAAGCATGCTTTCACCGAAGCGAGGCTTAGCCATTGCCTTACGGCTAAGTTGAACTTTGCGATTACAGGTTGGTTAAAACGTTTCTATTTTCACAAAGAAATAGCACTACTAGCTCCAAATTTATTTTTTCTCAAGTTGGTACATCTCGACCAAAAACCGCAACCACACCAGAAATCATTGAGTAAGTTCATAATATTGTTAGTGAAGATCCAAGTTTGACTAAGCGTGAAATTGCTAATGCCATAGGCATCTCAGACGAATGAGTACTTCATATTTTACATGGAGAATTACATATGAAAAATCTGATTGGAAAGTGAGAGCCGCACACGCTAACAATTCAACAAAAACTGGTTTGAAAACAAATTTCTCAGTATAATTTGGAGCGTTTTAAGCAGAATAAATTCGATTTCTTGCGTAATTTTTTAACTGTGGATGAGACTTGGATCTACCACTATGATCTTGAATTGAAACAAGAACGTTTACAGTGGAATGAAGCTGGCTGTTCAGCTCCAAAGCATATGAGGTCACAACGATCAGCAAAAAAGGTTATGGCATCAGTTTTTTGAGATGCAAAACGATTTTGTTGATTGATTATCTGCAGAAAGGTAAAACAAACAACTCTGGCTATGCAGCCTTTTAGATCAGCTGGATGAAAAAATTCGTGAAACAAGATCTGGTTTGCAGCGCAAAAAAATCATTTTTCATCAAGACAATGCACCTGCTCACAAAGGTGTTTTAATAATGACAAAATTCAAATAATTAGACTATGAATTGATTCAGCATCCACCGTACTCAACAGATTTGGCTCCCAGCGACTACAACCTTTTCAGAAACCTGAAACGATACCTTCGTGGAAAGCGTTTTTCATCTAATGAAGAAGCTATCACAGCCGTAAACGGGTATTTTGCAGAGCTACCGGAAGGTCATTCGAAGGATGGCATAAAATTAATGGAGGATCATTGGAATAAGAGTATTGAAGTTAAGGGAGATTATATCGAATAAGAAATATATTTTTTTACCAAAAACTGTATTATTTAAATTCGAACTTTTCAACCAAACTGTACTTGTATTCCAAATTCGAATAACTCATGATTGTTATTTTTGGTAGCCAGGAATGGTGTTCGTGCTATCCCGACTTCGGGTTTTTTAATAGGGATAATATGATTTCTTAATGTCGTTTTGGCCTTTTTTAATAAGTCATGATCTGTTTTTTTTTTTTTTTTGTTATTGTTTATGTTTATAATTTCATCATGCAAAGTTATACGCGAGAACAATGTTTACAAATTATTCAATTTTATTATCCAAATAATCGTTCTCCAATTGCAACTTTTCGTGCGCTTTTGCCATTTGATGGTCGCTCATTTTCATCTGAGTAGTGCGGTAAATAAACAAAACTGTCGATTTTGGTGCGAAGAAAATCCACAAATTATTCATGAACAACCATTACATACATCTGAAATTACAGTTTGGTGTGTTTTTTGAACCGGTAACCGAATTATTGCGAGAAAAGTTTGAAGATTCGATAATTTCTGTATTTGTAAATTGTTGTAAATTGTGACTTAACACCGTTAGACTACTTCTTGTGGGGTTATTTGAAGTCTTAAGCAATAAACCAGACTCTCTTCAAGCGTTCGAAGGCAATATTGAACGAAATTTTCATGACATACGACTTGATGTAGTCGAAAAAGTACCCGAAAATTGGGTTCATCGATTTCGTTCCTGCAAAAGAAGTCGTGGAGGCCATTTGAACGATGTTATATTCAGAACTTAACTATCTCGATTGTACTTCACACTAAATACAATAAAAAACATTTGAATTTCCAATTAGTGTTTTTTTTAAATCATATCATTCTTATTGGAAAGCCCTGTATTTGACAGATGCTGCCTGTCGCTTGCCGTCGTTGAATATGTTTAAAATGAGTGGAAAGGAGGCTACAGGGGACGCAGCGGAATCGAGGTTATGTGAAGGTACGTTACTGTTGATTCGGGGATTGTTTGTTACGTGACGATTTTCCGGTAAACATATTTTTATGCTCCACAATGATAACAACCATTTCAAACCAATTTCATAGGGGGAGATGAGGTAGCGATCCGCAGTACTTCCACTGGTTCCGGAGGATCAAGACGGAAAACAGCTCAATATTATCGTGAATACAGAGCACGAAAGCGAGCAGAGATGGAAACAGAGTTATCAAATACGGTAACTAGTAACCTGTCTACAAGTTCTGAGTCTTCTACAAATGTTGATTCCTGTAGAAGGAACGTTTTAAAGGCAAAACCCTTTGCGAAATGAGATGATCAAATAGCGGGAAATCCAATTTACACATTAGATAAACAAGTATTCGAGTTTATTAACTCGAAAAAAGACATTTCAATAATAGTATTTGATTGTCAAAGTCTTCGTGCGCACGCCAATACTTTTACCAATCGAGTCTTCCAAAATACGAATATTTTGATGTTTACAGAAAACTTTATGAGCGATGAAGAACCTCCTGTGCAAGTACCAAATTTTGAATTTACGGTGTGATTTCAATATAATGAAATTTGAATTTCAGGAGTTGCCATCTATCGTAATGAAAAGGGCAGATATTACGTTGTTACTCCTCATTTGAGAATAAAAGCTCCTAACTCAAGTGTGGCTGATGTCACGTTATCAACATCAGCAAGAATGGACTTAGCGGCAGTAGAGTGCAAAATCAAACCCAACGATAACAATGGTATGAAATTTATTTTAATACGCATAAATAAGGCAACTTTCAATAAATTTTAACATGAACATATCTTCCTGAAATATTTGAATTATTTCAGTAAGTAAAATATTCTATTAAAAGAACTGTATTGAGATCTGCTTCGATTCCAATAAATAAGTTAAAACATTCAATTAAATTTAAGTTTCATGAGTTTCAGGATTCGAACACATATGCTCGTATTCGGATTGAGCTTAACACCTTCACGCTTATGACCTCAGCCACCACAAAAGAGGGGAAATTATCGCTTTAGACACAGTTTTATTATTATATAAGTTGGATTTAATACGATTAAATGTTTATTTTATTATGAATTTTTGGGTTTTTACCAGGAATCCACCTTTTTAATTTAAAACATATATTAATAATAATTATATCATTGAAATTGAAAACACAAATCGTATTCGTTGGGTCTATTTATAGCCTTTCCCCGTTTCGCACATTGCGTGGTGTATTTATCTTTTTTGAAGTTGAATTTTTTGATAATCTCTCATAATACAATGAATAAAAAATAAAATTTATTAACATTCTCTGAAGCAGATAATGCTAAGCGATTTCACACACAGATGACGCTGTACGCATTCAATCAAGTTTAAGAACCAACGATCGAGCCAGGGTTGCTAAATTATTACAAATATTTAAATTATTTTACAGTTGATAAAATATTATATATTTTTTAAATCTTTGAAACACCACAATAGATTTTAATTATCTAGCCCTAAAATTGGCCATCAATTTGGACTGAGCGAAATTTAACATGATCGTTTCCCTATAAAAGTAGAGTCTGGGCGACATGTGCGAAAAACTTTCATACAAAGTCTATTGAACTATTCAAGAATATCTCCTACGGAATGGTGTAATCGCAGTGGCAACTTGTAGAGCAGAGCTTAAGTTCTATCGAGAGTTTCACTTAATACTTACCCAATCACGATCATTTATTAAGATACAACGACACACAGAAAGAAATGTCGGAGACCCTATAAAGTATATATGTATATAAATAATGACTGTGACAACCTGAGTCGATTTAGCTGTGTCCGTCTGACTATATATACGTGAACTCCCCTCAGTTTTTGATATACCGATCTTAGTGTGTAGCTGCCATACAAGCTGAACTATCAAATTCAAGTTCTTGCACGGGAAACTTTTTATTTGATAAGATATCTTTACTAAATTTGGTATAATTGTTCGACAGTAAAATCTTCGAAATAATTGTTCAGATCAGACCACTATGGGAAATCGCTGACATACAAACTGAACGATCAAAAGCAAGGTTTTGTACGAAAAACTTTTTTATTGAACAAGATAGCTTCACGAAATACGGCATGGATTAGTTCAAGACAACGGTAAAATCTTTGAACAAATTGCTCAGATCGGACCACTATAATATATAGCTGCCATACAAACTGATCGAACAAAATCAAGAGAATGATCTTCATAATTAATGTTTTCGCCTTATTAAGTACACTTATTTCGACTTGACCTTCCTTATGGTACAAAAGTTTTTTCTTTCGCTCTGTACTCTGAAAAATTGGTGGATAGACACCTCTAAGAAAGGCTGTGCTGAGCTCTTAATTTTAACAAGAAGATCATCTGCTTAACTGTTATCTATTTTATTCTTGTTATTAGTGAAAAAAAATTCGCTTTTTTTACTCACCCTAAAATAACTCTCTAGCATTTACCAGCAAACTGATGTCAGGCTTTGAAACGTTAATTAGTGTACTATTTGAATATAATACGGATATAAATATTTGAAGAATGTGGTTCATAAAAATATCAGTTTTAATACGCTAAATCGTTTTCGAGAAGTGAGTGTGAGTTATTTAATCGATATACGATTTTACTCGCCCTATGATTTTGGGGACTTCGTATTTTTATTTATATATCAGGTGAATTATTGCTTTGGTGCTTACCTCGTCGATGGGCTACCTTACGGAATTTATACATTTTTTATAAACTGAATTTTTCATTAATACATGCTTGAAATTCTTGTTCTTCTCTGAGTGATGCCTGTATCATTTATTCTGCTGTTCGATGCAGCCATATATTCAAAAATAAATAGGCTTTTGCTCTACCGGGTAATCTACCGAAATTGTGTCTTACCTTATAAATGCATATATAAGAGACTGATTAAAAACACTTACAACACATATACAAATTTATATTTATTATATATTTAAATCACCATTTTGCAATATATTTATATATGTATACATATTTTCCTTTTATTTCTTACATACCACAAATATTCTTCTTTTATGGGGTTAACTTAACATAAGCATATTTTCGGTTATAAAATAAAATATTAACAAAAATTTAATTAAAAAAAAAAGTCGCAATTTTGCAACTGCATTTTTTGCTTCGAATCATAAAACAAGTATATACAGGTATAACTACATTAATATGTATGTGTGTCAATTGCAGCACTTAATGGAAAGAGCAAATTTGGATTATGTGTTATAGCTCTTAAAGCCATCATTTTAAAACTATGTCATGTAAATTAAGCTTATATACATATGTACATACATATAAATATATACAATAGTCTATATGTATTACATACTATCATATATATGTACAATATCAATATCTTATATAATTACCCAATTGGATGGATTATGATCACAATGAATTAAATATGAAATTAAAAAAAAGACTAAATTAAGTGGACCAAGGCATTTCAAAAGGGTAGTCGAATAAACAAAGCATATACAGCACTATTTTCGTATATGCCGCGATTTCTTAGCATCCACAATAACACCGTCTATAAAATAGCCAAAAATATATATACAAAATCCACGATTTATAATTGAACCTCAGCACTTAGTAGCATAGTTATAGGCGTTTTGGCTTGCTGCGGCCACCTTTAAGCATCAAGCTGGACCAATTGCAGTAGGGCATTTCGAACGCTAGCGAGAACACCACTGAGGCTAAGTAAATAATAACAACAAATCCAGATGTCACCACGCACTGCAAAATAAAAGAGAGAAAGAGAGTTATAAGCAAAAAGATTACTTTAAAGAGAATAATGTAAGATAATAGATACTTGCTAAGGATAACTGTAAAGGTAATGTAATTTTAGTTAATTTTTGCTTTTTGTAGAAGTAAACTGCCATATTTGTACTTATATAAATGGTATGTATTTATCTCTTTATCTCGCTTTATATATTTCATAACTCCTCATCGCAAACACCCAGACATTTTTGACAACTTTCCTAATCTACAACCAAACTGAGTACTCTTAGGCCTTAATTAATATCTAGTCAATCTAACTTTAATTTTTTAATTCTTCGAACTACAAATATTAAACATTCACATGTCTACCTTTCTTACTCCGAGCTTAACTGATACTCAGGCAGGGTTAAACTCCTAAATTCTTCGCAGAATCTTTTTTTCACACAGCTTAGAATTTTATATCATGAGCCTAATAAATTGTTAATTTCCTACCCGAAAGATTATTTACGCAATTAAATTTCGGGTCTAATGACCTAATCCCTTTAGAAATTTTTACAGCTGTACTCTAGCACGGCTACGCAATATTATTCTCTCCGAGAGAGCACTGTATTCCTCAACTGTCTGCTCAGTAGTTGCTGTAACTCCTGGTTCTTAAATTGCAATTTCTTTTACTAAGAGACTTAATTCAATTCGCCTCTTTATGCAATATATATTAAAGAAATCTCATGGTGGAGAGTGATCTTGCTTCACTTCATAAAAGCTAGATCACATTTCACGGACTTTCTACCATTACATGAGAATTACAATACAGAGTGACTCAAAGTGCTACAAAATAATGAAACTGATTCCGTCCTTAAAGTCATTTAACTCACCATCATCAGCGGATCCGCATTAGTACTCGCATTAGTCAAGCTAAAGAAGAAAGCTATGATGAAGGGATTCAGCAAATAAATGCCGTAAGTCACCCGATTGATGTGCTGAAAGACTTTGGCCTCTAAAATGCGCGACCACCAAACGCCACGTCCTGTTGCGCTGCCCACTATCATCCAACAAACGCTCAGCGAGAAGAGTAAACGACCGACAATGAAGAGAGTAATTGATAAAAATACGGACATATCACGTTTGACGGTTGAATAGATGCAGGAGAAGAATACGAAAATGGCTAAATTCCAAAAGCATTTCTCCTTCAACTCGCTGATGTCGATTTGGGACTGTCGCTGCAGCAGATACCAGGCCGTAACAGCGCCTAGTACATATGGCAGAATGCGTACAAAGGGACTGATGTAGATATCCGTGCCCGTGGCAAGCACAGAGTCAAAGGACAGTTGAAATTTAGAATCCAAACCAATGGAGTAACTCCAAACAATGGTTCCAACTAAAATGGCCGCAGTGAAACCTTTCACCAAGCGTGGGTTTCTGGAACGAACAAACGACAATATATTTCATTAGATTTCGAATGAGAAAGAAGTCAGTTTTATATAACTCACTTTGCATAGGTGAAGAGTAGAATGGTCGCTAGAACAAAATATTGCATCTCACACGCCAATGACCAGGTCCAATTGAGACACATGTCATTGTGATTGAACAAATTTTGTATAAAGATCAAATTGCGCCACCAATATTGCGTGCATTTTTCGTCGAAACGCTCGCTAATATGGTAAACCGATACATCGGCGATGTAGGCGAAAAATAAGTCCACTGTGCCCATCATCACTAGGTATAGCGGGCCAAGTCTGAAAAAAGTAAATAAATACAAATTTATTTCTCAATGCGATAAATAAGAATTTTAATAACTCGCAAATCTACACAATTTTCTCCTAGAGATTGAGGTTATGTATTATATTAGGCCAGTTTGGATCCTTTGCGATACTAGATGGAGTTCCGTTACGACATCCATGAGGAGTATTTTAACAGACTATGTGGGCTTGCCAATTGGGTAACTTCGAAGTAAAATTTATGAGTAACTATTTATATTTAAATAAACAGTGTTAATGGTTCTACTTTGTCTTTTCAGACCATATATGGTTCGGATCTATGAATGGCTTAACAAACCTGCTACTCGGTATATCTTTTTTAATCCAGAAACTAATATCATTGAAAGGAATTTGAAGCGGTTAGCAGTGTTTGAGCTACCTAAGGTTCAAACTGATTTGACCTTGAGGATACATTTATTTTACTTATTTACTATAGATATACAGTGAACTTTTTATCAGAGTGACTATCAGTGCGAGAGACCCAACACCACCTTTGGTAGGCATATTTACTCCCTTGCTTATTTAAAATAGGACCCAAAGTATAAAACTCATGGTTTACACTTGCTAAACCGACTTTGCTTCTACGGAATTTTTCACACGTCTATAATCCCGTTAAAGCAAATATCCATGACCCTTAGGCTGCACGTTTACTGGACTTTGTCTACAGCGCATGCCATTTTAGGTGAACAACTTCTCCTCGAACTTTCGAGACTTCACATCATAATGAGGTAAGCTTCCCTTCCATTTGTGCTCTAACTGCTCTAAGAAACCTAATAGAAGTCGTCTACAGTCTCTTGATTTTATCTTATTTAAATATAGAGTATTATTCCATTCTAATGGAACACATTTGTCATACGTACCTTAGATAACGATGGAAGAGCAACTTGAAGAAGTATTTCACATTTTGTAAAAGATTATTGGCACGGATCGTTTCCATCTGTTTAGTGTTTCGCATAAAGTTGTAGGCCTGCAGGAAACCACTAAAATAACGCAATATTTTAATAATTTATAAAATCCTTTATACCCACCATTCACACTTACCTTATAGTGAAGAAGACATCCACCAAGAGCGGTGCCGAGCTGACATATTGAAAGAAAATCCGTTCCGCATACGAAATCAAAAAGGCCTTATTGTTCACTGTGAAGTACATGTACCAGAATACATGAAAGGCCGCGAGCCACATCGCACAAACCGAACGCAAGCCATTTATAACGGGAATCTCACGCTTAGCATTTTCCCTCACCGTAAACATTTTTTCATAATTGTCCAAGACATCAAAGCATTTCACATAGTCACGTAAATTCGAGTGCTCGCTGTAATCAGAAGGGCCCGAAACTGAGTTCAGCGGTTCCTTGCTGTCTTTAGTAGGCAGCAATTGCTGTGCAACATCAACCGAACTTTCTTGCGAAACCTTCGACGAGTTCTTATCTCTTTTCGCCTCCACAACTGGCTTCACGCGCAGAAAAGCCGCAACTAAAAGCATTAAGCTGGTGAATGCCAAAAATACAGACATCATTTTGAAAGTGCGCTTTTCGAAGAAACTCTTATTCAACTTGAGATCTTTCACATAAGCCAACTGTGGTCGTATATCGTATATGTCATTCTCAATGAAGAGACCACGTTCCAAATATGCGCGTGTCAACTCTTCGATTTCATGCGATTCACAAACGGTGGGTAAACAGAGTCCAACGTGAATAATTTCCTCCGACATCATTTTGATCTCCACCTGCCAGGGTGAATGATGGCGCAAATAGACAACTCGATAATCCACATCGAAGGGTGCACGTTCGGTGATAATGGCATAATGCATGATACGTTGATAGTTTTTTGAGAGCGTAATGGCGACAGGGTTTTTGACGGCGCCACAAGCTTCACGGCTGCCCAGCCAAAAGTTTTGACCAAAAACGAAACCTGAAGGTTTGGTTGCCGAAGCGTCGAGCACTAGAAAATAGTAATAGGTGATTATAGAGGGTAAAATTAGGGAATGACTATTAAGTAAGAAAAAACAATCAAAACCATGAAGAGTTCTTCGATAAATTTGAGAGCGTTCATTAATGGTAAACGTAACATTCAAATCTCTAATGCCGACACAAAACCTGGTTTGAGTCTTACCTAGTTAAAAGGTCAACAAAGGTAAGGAAACTCGGAAGACCCAGTATCGTTTTTTTTAGACACGACGTCAATAGAATTTTTCTTTTAGTAGAGGAAATGGAAAGGAGGTGTTAGTTATAGGGAACATCCATGCAAATACTTAAAATTTGTATCGATGAGCCTCTAGCATTGACTCTCGGAATAAGTTAAACATACATGGATCTATCCATCTTATAAAATTCGCCAAGGCATGAATTCATGGACTTTAGTTTGATCTCTTGAAATCAACATTCCACCGGAATATTCGGATAAAATAATACTCGGTAGTGAGGTATCATATAGCAACTATAGTTTTGGGTGGAAATTGCTTTTAGCTGGATTTAAAAACAAACGCCATGAAGAATTTGTTTTTCTTCGCGAGAAAAGAGCTTTGTAAGTCTCCGACCTGAACGGATTTCGGCTCTCGGCAATACCGCCTAACATATTTTTTATAAGAAGAAGCATCTAAAATCTGGAGCCGTTCGTAGTCAACTCCGATAAGTTTGGTATTGGTAAACGGGTTTTAGTTTAAATTTCTGTAATGTAAAAGTGGAGTTTCGCAGTTTTTCGCTCCTAAAATTTAAGCAACTCTCACTTATTTTTCGTTCATCACGAACTCACCTTTCATGGCCCATGGCTCTTTGCGCAGTATCCCCTGTTGCATGTGTCTCATATGTCGACTGCAAACGGTATTAACGTTACTGCCATTCGCCATACTCGCCAAGCCGAATATAACCGAAGTGCGTCGCAGATATTCGTACACCTCGTAATCTTTATCTTGAAAATTCATATCCAATTCGTCTTCATACTCATCATAACGGTAAGTGCTAGAGTTCAAAGATCGATTTAACTCTATATCCTCTGGAAATGCTTTATCGCTGGCATTTATATTGTTGTTGTAGATATGTGGTGTTGTTGGATTGTTGGTATCGTTGACGTTTGCATAGTAAACGGAATTATTATGTTGTGCAACAATAAAAAGTGGAAAGCAGGCAATAATGCAACAAGTTGAGATTAGAAAAATTTGATGCGACGTGTTGTGCTTTAAGCTCGGCGCGTTGGCGACCATCTTTGTAATAGTACACTGTCTAGGAATATTAATCTGTAAGAAACAAAACAAAATAAAAATAGTGAGTCATTAGTGATGCGCAATAATGGATTTAAGACGTTTTTTATGATAATTTTACAAAGCACTGGTAGTAACCACTTTTAGAGTTCCCTATCTAAATGGCTGTAGCTCCAAAATAGAAATGTTCTTACACTCACATTTCACTGCCTTTTATTGTAAGAAAGACGCTCAACAACCTCTTCCCACATAAAGTAGAAAAAAAAATTAGAAATATAACAAAGCTATTCTACTGAGCATCATTAGTGACTCTAGCGACTCGTATGTGTCACAGGTTCTCGTGACAGCTTACAGTCATTGATAAATCGGTCGAATTGAAAAAGAAATGTATTTAGATATGCATATATACATACATTATGTATTATATTGTATGTATGTACCAAGTCTTACAACAGCATACATATATTCTTTCTTCACATCTGTCACAAATCACATGAACTAATCATCTTTTGGAGGCTTGTATGCATTGTTGGGTAATTGTCAAATATAAAGCAATTGTTGCTGGCACAATAGATGAAGAATAGCAATACGCGAAGTGCGAAGAAGACGTCAAAAACAACGCATAAATCTTTATGAAGGGTGTCGAGAATTATAGATAAACCTACATACATATGCATCTACTATGCATAAGTACATACATACATACATACGTATATGTATATGTACAAACTTAAGTGTAAATAAGTGCTTTGCTCTATATACCATGCTCAAATCGTAAGTCAACTTTACAGTAACATATGTACAAGTATGTATATACACTCATCGCATACTAAATTGTGTTTAATTTTGGATGCCGATTTTTAGCCGCTTTCTATTTTCTATAATCATCCCTGCAACTAATTTCATACGTTAACGTTCAAATTTCGCTTTTTTCACTGCTTTTGATTTCTTTGTTTAATGAGAGTTTAATATAACACTATTTCTCAAAGACTAATCAATTTTGGTGATTTCTTTCGATAACGATTTCTCGCAAGTAAATCAACCGATTCCCGGTTTGCGGCAAACGATGTGTTTCTTAAAGGTTTAGAACTGTTTAGTTTTTGGTATCGATCGGTCAAGTCGTTTGGAAGAAAATTTTTATTTTTGAGATTTCTCGAAATCTACTGGTCCGATTGGGTCCAAACTTACACGAAATTCAAGAGCAATGAAACCCGTGGAATGCCGTTTAGTTTATTCAAATCGATTGAGCCGTTTAAAAGTCAAAAGAGGTTTACATACATCCACACACACACCCATACATCCACACATACATACAGACATACGGACATCATCGTAGAAATGTTCGGGGAAGCTTCCTCGACCCTTAGAACGTCGAGATCGGTTGAGAACTCGATTTTTGCAAAATGGGGTGAAACCAATAACTTCCCGATGTTTAGAAAATTTTCAATTTTCTTAGCGGGAAGTTAAAAATTATATATGCATTCATTTAATATTCCGAAATAAGCTATGAGTCGCGCTATTTCGGGATTGTAAAATTTTAATTTCTTAATCCCGAGTTTTTCAGATTTTATGTTATTTTTATAGTCTTAAAACTCGTTCTGATGCTTCTCCAATTAATATTATAAAATATAGATTGTAAAATTTTAATTTCGGTGTCCTGTTTTTTTCAGTATTTATATAATCTAATTATGAGTCAAAATTAAAAATTCGATGAAAGACTGCGAAATTTCAATTTCTCAGTATATATGATAGTTGTTTGAAAGATTAGCGATTGAAGCATTTGTTTTTGAAAAAATTTAGAAAAAAATTAAATTTTTAATTGGTTTAATTAATTTTCTCCAAAAAAAATCTTTCTTCCAGTCCTCAAAAAGTAATTGTCACGTGGTCCGTTTAATAAATCTTGGTGAAATGTTCAGTGTAGAAGTTTAGTCTGAAGAATTCAAGATATTCTTACCATAATTTTGTAAAAGCTCTTAATAGGTCTAATTGAGATTGTATGGTATATGCTTGGTCATGACGAAAGACAACGATTTCATTCACTTCGGGCGCATTTCGTCGGTGATGTCGGTTACTGTTGACTGATCTACGAATATTCTTATGAATATTTATTTGTTCCGAATTGTGGTTTGGCGTGAATAAACTTTGTTTGGGTTATTGAATATTTCTCTTTTAAGTGGTTATATGGGTTTCGTCGAAAAAAACAGCATATTTTCAATATTTTTTTTTTTCATATAAGAATTTAAATATTTTAATCAAACTTTTTATTATACCATGATACATATTTTACAAAGGTTTTGTGAAATTTCCAAAAGAAAATATTCAAAACTCGGCCATTTCGACGTAGTTCCTACAGTACAGTATCATCCAAAAGTAATAAGAAACAAGTAAGGAAGGGCTAAGTTCGGATGTAACCGAACATTTTATACTCTCGCAGAGTCAAATGGTATACTCGTTTGAGATTTCTTTGTGGATTGACTGATATTTTCGGTAGAACGTCAACTATAGGCACTGGGGTCCACGTATTTAGTACTTAGGGGCTTGAACAGTTTTTGTTCGATTTAGACAATTTTTGGTCACAAAGTGGCATACTTTAAACATATTATTCACGCAAAGTTTTACCCCGATATAATCATTGGTGATTGATATGTATAGTGGAAAGTGAAAGAATCAGATGGAATTGAAAATGGTGTTATTAGATTTCGCCCTATAACATAGAAATATGACAAAACGTTATGCACCGAATTTAGTTGAAATCGGTTAAGCAGATCCCAAAATATGAGTTTTCACCTAAAAGTGGGCGGTGCCAAGCCCACTGACTAATTTTGAACGCGGTTCCTATAAAGTCATCTCATACCATCCCAGAGATAAAATTTAATGTCTCTGGCGTGTTTAGTGCGCTTTTAGTATTTTTTAACAGTACTGTTATATGTCGAGTGGGCGGGCTTAAACTAAGTATTGGACGAAGGTAAATAAAGTGTTTTTACAAAAAAATGCCAATTTCGGTAAACAGCTCTCGACCTCAGTTGAGTAGTTCGCGTGAAATCTTGACAACCGACTTTTAAAACACAGTTTCCAATCAACTTGAGATTTTAGGATACTATTCTAGAGATGTTTTTTTGAAACCGTGAAACCTATGTAACCCCTTAACTCCTCTACTCATTCCTCTTTTGGTTCAATAACACAAGATCTTATAAAAAGAAATATATTATTCTTCCAATAGAAGGCTATAGTAATCCGTATCTCGTGTTGTATAAAAGCTTGATTCAGTATTATTTGAGCACGCGTCAAAAATGAACTCCAAAGTGATGGAGAAAATGCGCCATATTTTACAGATTTTGTTCAATAAAAGTGAGCATGCAAGCCAGGCGGCTGAAAATGTGAATAGGCGCTGATACTGTAACAGCCAATCTCACGCAGTTTTGATTTCGTTCCGGTAATTATGATGTCAAAGTTTTACCACGCGCTAGAAGTCCAGTTTTCGAAAATATCGATAAAATAATGAAAATCCGACCCACGGACAACGCCAGGCCAAACAAAGCGACAGGGTTTCGACAAAATCTCCAGGAGCTATGTGTTGGGTGGGATTGGTGGGATTGACTGCCGCTAAGTGATTACTACCAGAAAGTTATCGAAAAAAACAGTGTATTTTTGACCTACTCGTAAATCGGATCATTTGAACTCTGCTAAGTAAAACCTTCAATTTACTGCAAAAATAAAGAATTTTTTTACAAAACCTTGTTTAACGCAGACAGTTGATTATTTCGGTTATTTTCCCACGAAAAGTAAAATTTGAAATGTAACAATTGCATTGTATGCCAACAGCCTCTCATATATACTCGTACATACGTATTTACACTTGTTAGACCTTGCTTGTCAGTAATTCTTGCATTGACATTGACAATGAAAACCGCACAACTGGCTTTACCGCAAATTTTTATACAAACGAGTGCATGTGAAAAATCTGTAGACATACATACATGCATACATTTGTGCTAGATATACGAGCATATAAAACAGTTTTATTGTTCTTTTAACGTAAAATGCATTGTGCTTTTGGCAATAATAACCACAGCAATGCATAATTCTGCGCATCGATTAAACAAAGCAAAAATATTTTATAAGATAACAACAACAAAACAATCTGCAACAGGTACTTAAATACATAGATACTCGTATATGTATGCATGGATATATATGAAACTCTAAAGTAAACTTGTATGAATGGGAAACCTTGTTAATTGACTTTGGTGATTGATGTAAAAAAGCTTAATAACCTCGCAAAGGTGAGATAACTTTTTTTGTATTGCGTTATGCAATTAATGTTTTACACGCATTTGCTTATTGATTTATGTATACACGTGTGTAATTTTGCTTTAAAGGTAACATACAAGTATTTTTATTTATTTATTTATTATATGAAAAATATTAATACAATTATTATTATACAGAGTAAAAGGAGCACTATCCTCAGAGGCTTTCAGCTCACAAGTATTTTATTATTGCTTATTCAGACTTAATCGCTTTTCAATGGTGCATTGCGCATGCGCTCGGCTCTGTTAGTAGCAGATGCTGTTAACGATGTTAATAAAGTTTTATGTATTTGAGTGATTTCAATTTTTTCCATAATAATGATGTTTAGCACTAAGGAGAGATAGCTTTTCATGTTAGAAATCAAACGGCAAGTTGATTTTTATCCAAGATCAATAACTTTAGTTAAGCTTTCTTCTTAGCAAATACGGTATATTTAGTTGGATAGCGAGCTGAAAACTCGTAACACACCATGAACCTGTCTGTTCAGGTAATTTCTTTCGATTAATTTTAGCTTAGTACATCAATAATATCTCTGATAGCATTTAAAAGATTGATCTAGATATTTGACTATGTATTTCTTCGTTATACCATATTATAAATCTAATGCAAAATCGGTAGTATTAATATTCCGAGTTTTTGGTATTTTCAAGAATAATAAATTCCAGTCAAGAGACCAAACTTGAACCATTTTTTGCAACAATTGTAAGCGACATAAGAACACAAAA